TTGTTTGTTTCAGTGTAATGCTCTTAAAGTCATAGCATGGAGATAACTGAATTGTCTTATTCTTAGTAGTTTGAAATAATAGTATTTTTGTATGTTTTGGGTGTGTCTATGTATGTATTAACACAACAGTTTTCACTGCCTAGGTGTTCATAATTGAAAAAGAAGTGTACATAATCTAATTTCCACCAGATTGTCAATTTAGATTGCATTTCTCTGATTGCCATTCCCGAGATAGATTTTTTTTAAAGAGACAACACCTTTGTAAGGATAAAACTGTACTTTCCCCCTTCCTTAAAGTCACAGTTCTCTGGACGCTCCATCAGTGTATCTCCAAAGGTAAAGTATGAGAAGAAAACTAAAATGTGTTTTGCCAGCAAAGCAGTAGTTTGGAGGGATTGATTATCTGGGAGAGATACTCATTCTTTCTAGTGCAAATTACTTTGAGATCAGGATGTTAATTGTGTTTTCAAGTTAGCTTTTTTCCCTTGCCCAAAGCCTTCTTACCCTCTCAGTAGCACAACTTGGTTCACGTTAACATTTGTCATCTAATTGTGATATTCTAATTAGATGTGTTCTTGTGTAGCTTTGAATTTGAGAACTGTAAGGCCATATTCTGAAACTTGGCATGGCTCCAAAATGGAGATGAAAATGATGCTGTCTCTTTAAAAATATCTCCCCCCAGGTGGCTGTGGGCATTGAGAGATTGTGTAGATTACAGTGAATCAGGATGAAATGGTAGATTTTGTGTAGATGCATTTGTCTGCTGTAATTTTTATATATATATAAAACTTACTGTAACTGTACAGTTCATTTCTGTTGTAAACATCATTAAACCATTTTTCCAAGTGTTTTAACATGCATGCACTTGTTTGTGGTTTCTAAGCAAATGCTAGTTAGTCTCGGCTAAAAGGAAATGGCAGAACCTTGTTGTCTTTCCTCTTCTCTGCTTTCAACCCCACCAATCTGGGGCTGGAGGCCTTCTGTCCTGACTCGCCACCGGCTGCAAGCCATTCCAAGGCAGGATTCTGCCATAAGTGTAGGCAGCAAAACCAGGTAAACCTGTTTGTTCTCTTTCTTAGTGGAAGCTCTGATTTCAAAAAAAAAAAAATGCACAGGATGTTCAGCTTTTCAGATCATAACATATCACCATATTCACATACATAATTAGTGTGTGGAGTGAGCTCCCGTCTCTAGTTCCAGCTCCTGCCAACCTAGCAGTTGGAAAGCAAGAAATTGCAAGTAGATAAATAGGTACCGCTTCGGTGGGAAGGTAACAGCGTTCCGTGCACCTTGGTGTTTAGTCATGCCGGCCACATGACCACGGAAACGTCTTCAGACAGCGCTGGCTCTTCGGCTTTGAAACGGAGATGAGCACCGCAACCCTAGAGTCGGACTCGACTGGCTCTCGGGCAAGGGAACCTTTTACCTTAATTTATATAGAAGAGACCCTGACCTTTTCTGAACAACCTACTATTTCTGTGTTCTTAACTTGTCTTCTCACCATGCCAGAAACATCTTTTCATGTCTCTACTTCTTCTTTCCAGTTTTTAGACCTGAGAGGGCATTAATGTAAAATTAATGAGGCATTAAAAATTAAATAACTATATAGGATTGTCATTGTTGTGAAACAAGCATAAATTAAAGTAAAATAACCAACCTGCATGTCTGTACAGATTGCCACTGAATCAGTCCTCAAACGTTTTGAACAGAGACCCATACTACTAACCATCTACATACCAAGCTTCACAGCCTATCAGCACCCATCTCTTTCTGGCAGGTGGATAAATAGAATCCTCACAGAGCCACCTTGTATGCAAGACACTGTTTGGGGAGCGTGTTCTTGCCCAACATTGAAACACCATCTCTAGCTCTTTGCTCTGCATGGTTGTTGTCCTTCCTGGACCATCACAGTGCTCTTCCTCTGTCCTCCATGTGTATGCATACCACACACAGGGCCTGTCCTACAGTCTGAGCATTACTGTAGTACTACAGTCTACCCATAACTTTTTTTTAAACTTCATTTATACCCCCCTTTTCTCTCCAATGGGGACCCAAAGTAGCTCACAGCACTCTCCCCTTCTCAATGCTACCCTCCCAATAACTCTGTGAGGTAGGTTAGCCTGAAAGTGTGTGACTCGCGCAAGGTCACTAAGAACTAGTTTTTTTCCCAAAACTGTGTACGGGATTCTGCTGTTACCGCCTGGGACATGTGTAAAACCCACTACTGGATTAGAAAAATTGTATGGCATACTAAACTACTTCACCAGTCCCATGTTATAAGAGTTTGAAGTCTGCTAGTTCTGCGCAAATCTTGAAGTTATCCTGGACATTGCCCTTCTCCAAAGTACTATTTCATTTAGTTGCTGTAGATTTTCCAGGATGTGTGGTCGTAGTCTTGGCATCGTAGAACCTGACGTTTTGCCAGTAACTGTGACTGGCATCCTCAGAGGTGTAAACACACAAAGATGGAATAGTCTCTGTGTCAAGGTGAGAATAGCACTACAGATAAGATTAGAATTTCAATAACCTCCTCAGGAAGCAGGAAACCTCCTCAGGAAACAAAAGAACCTCCTCAGGAAAGCTCCTCCATTAGCATGTCCATAGCCTGGGGAACTCCTACAAGACAATGACTCAGCCCTACCCACCTTCTGGAGTAGATATAAATTGACTGCCTACCATTTTCTTCTCAACTTGACACAGAGACTATTCCATCGTTCTGTGTTTATAATGAACTAATGAACTCCGGCCGTGAAAGCCTGTGACAACATACTATTTCATCTACATTGTATTTTTTCTTTCTGTTAGTTTGACTAAAACTGCAGAAACTTTAGGGAAGTTATTCAAGTGTCTTTGGAATAATGCCAAAAGAAAAAATGTAAGTATTCTTAAAGATACATTTATTTAAAATACATTGAATGTGTTTTCAGTCATTCAGAGATTAAACAAACACCTTTGTTTTAGCTAAAAACTTAGCTACCCATTGAGATCAAATGTACACTTTTAAATGATCAAATTTGGTCAAGCTTCCGTCCATTTTTCTAATTCTGTTTTGACCACTCTGCTGTCCCACTTGGCTGACTCCGTTATATACAGCACCCAGCTAACCCTAGAAGAAACTAGTTCACCATGTAGAAACAGGGAAGCACCATTTCAAGCAGGACAGTTCTTTCAAAGGGCAGGATCAAAGGCTGAAGTAATCCGTTTATGCAAAATGTATAACAGTGACACTAACTCGTGTCTATGGCAAGAATAACCTCTCTTTTGAGAATCCATTTTGAACTAATCAAACCTGTCATAGAGACAGAAATTTAAGACCCTATAAGTAGCTTCAGTGTAACTATTCATTGGTCAGGACAACAGATGAAATAAGTACAGCTGGAATACAGTTGTCACAACAGGAGCATGGGAGGAGCATCCTGCTAACTGCATTTGGAATCCCACTATTCACCCGCAGACATTTTTCTCGTAATTCTCACCCAGATACCTGTATGTAGCCCAGTATTTGGGAGGTGGGGCTGATGCAGAGAGCCTTCTTGATCTCTTTCACTATGAGCTTGAGTGCTAGATCCTATGCAAATCCCTCCTAGCAATAACACAGTTAAGTATGACATGGCTACCAACATCAACTCACTGGGCTTAATACTAACCAAGATATGTTTCATCCAAAGTTTGCTAAACAGCTGCAAACACTTTAAGAGGGAGTCAAGGTAGAGCTAATTGAAGTCTATAAGTGGAAATATAATGCTTGATCTACACACAAGGCCTTTTATGCTGGGCAGAAAGAAGAATGTGGTTGGAGACGAGAGTATAATACTATGGCCCATTCTCTTAACTATGGAAACCTGTCTGCAGTGGCCTGTATTTTTCATATAGTGCAGGGCAATTTTCTTCACACGTTAGTACCATTCCATGTGATCCTAAGATTGTTCACTTAGAAGTTCCTCCAAATTCAGTAGATTTACTGGGGTAACTGTGTTTAGGATTATAATTTGACTTCAATATTTTATACCATTCTGTGTATTTAATTTTTGGCTTTGATTCTGCATAGTGAATCTAAACAAACCATCACACAGCCCATGGTAGTAAAGGCAATGTGCTTGATGTTACCGCAGCCAGCCCAGAAGTATGCAGAAAGCTGTCGTATAGCATGAACAACCTTCCTCTGATGTGTCATTTGGTAGTTCAGTTGACTCAGTTTATCTAATTGAGTTGTATATACTGTATTTAGAGTTCCATATTCTTATACCCTCCCTATCCTTCAGCTGTTATGTCTCAAGCTCTATGGGGAAAAGCCCTCAGACCAAAAAAAGGACACATTTTAAGAACTCTTAATAAAATCACCTGCCTTTGAATTAATCCAGAGTTGAGCAGGTTCAGCTTTGATTTCATATACTGGCTACTCTGTAATACTTTGTTAAAGGCAATAGTGGTGCATTACTATAATGCAACTCATGCAAATGAAAAACAAAGCCACTTCCTTGTACAAATTAAACATGTTGCAAAAATGCCAAACTTGGATTTGTTTAATAGCTTGTAGATGTACTAAATATTGAGTATATATCTACAGAACCTCCAAACTAGAATTACGTAGAAAAGAGCAAGAGTCCAGTGGCACCTTAAAGACTAACAAAAAGTGAGCAGTGATTAATGAAAGCTTATGCCCTGCCACGAATTTTGTTAGTCTTCAAGGTGCTATTGGACTCTTGCTCTTTGATGCTGCTACAGACAGACTAACACGGCTACCCGTCTAGAATTATGTATTTAGCCTTAAAAAAAACTTTACAGATAAGAAGTACCAATCACATCTTTTGCCCCCTGAATTTAACTGAGCAAGTTTGCATTTCCAGTTTCTCCTACATATGTACATTTCAAAAGCCATAATTTGAAGCTGGTTAGGAAAGGAATGATCTTTTGCTAACGGCATGATTGTACCAGGCAACAGTTCCCTGTGTGAATTATCTTGAACGGAGACGAGTATTTCAGTCCTCTGCCTTGGCTTCTCTGTCTTGTTGGATCCTGCTGTGGCTAGTAAGGCATTGGCTGCATTTGAAGAGCATCATAGGTATCCTTTGTTGCTGAGCTGAGTCCCTGGTAGACAGATGACACAGTGACGAGCTTATTACAGAAAGGCTGTGCCTGATCACTACGGTTTAGTCACAGAGGAAGCACTAGTCACATATAGAACCCAGGAGAAATACATGTATAAATATAAATTGCCCTAAGCAATTCCCCAGTGCAAGACTTCATATGTACCCCCCAAAAGCACCAATTTAAAACAGCAAGCTTTCTGTGTATTTGCAGAGGTTACATGCAGTTGGCAAGCTACTTATCATTAAAGCCAAGGGGAGTTCAACCATTAATACCACCCCACCACACACACACAGAGTCCTTTGTATATGCAGGTCTGGTTCAAATGGGCATGAGACTCCTACGGAATATAGTTTGTTTGCAGCTCACTCCAGTCAGATTAAAACCCTGGCCTTTGGTAGCACTCCTTACCTGGTAAACAGCATCATTGCCTTTACCTCGGCGCCTCTGAGAAAAGAGAAACCCAAAATTAATAGACATGATTTACTCCTCCTTCCCCTCTTGGTTTTTCTTGAGCTGCCTCCAGTGGGTCCCTTTCTTCTAAACGCACTCTGACTCTGTTAAGTAGACGCTACACACTCTGACACAACAACTGAAGGATCAGTAAATAATAAAATAGAAGTGCTGGTTAAGCGGTAAGGAGAATTCTGTGATGTCTGCTATGGCAGACAGGGCAGCAGAGTGGCATGAAGCATCACTTACCTCTCCTTTCTTTCCAATTTCACTGTAAGCTTCACCCATCTTATCCCTCTGTAGAGACTTGTCCATGGAAAAGCAGAAAGCAGAGTTAAGGTAAGTAAAAAAAAAACCCTGTTGTCTGCTATTTTTAGAAGCACTTTTACAACTTTCTCTTCTAGTTACATGGTAAATCTTTTATCTGTAGCCAGTGGGCCTTCTCCCACCCCGTACAACTAGGGAATAATCCAGCAGGAACAAGGACACAGGAAGGGGAAGAGTGACTAACATGGGATTGGACTTTGATTTAATTTTGTTTTAAAAAATCAAGATAATCAATTTGATTTATTCAATGCGATTCCTTCACTGCAGGAGAGTCATAACATTTTTTCAAACTGCTGTGAGGTAGATATAGATAAACAGTAATACACACTCTAAATAGGTTTGAGCAGGTACAATACTTAAAAACAACAACACCAGAGGGATGGATTAGAGAGCAATAATGAGACCAAAATGGTTAAGCAGGCACTGTAAAGCAAGGCAGGCTGGCTCACGCAGCATTAACACCAACCGCAAAATCAGATGGCGCTTGAAATACCTCCAGCGAGGGGTAGTTGGCAACAACAGGCTCACAAGGAAAGTGTCAACAACAAACAGTGACAAATTTTTAATATATGCTTGTGAAGGAAAAAGGTGTTGTGCTATAACATCAGCACTTATTTAGAGTAACTCTTTCAGATGCCTATTGGACAATAAATATGAAGGTGATTTAAAAGAGGGGAGAAAGGTTTTTTTTAAAAAAGTGTGACCAATGAGCCAGCAGCTGAGCAAGCACCCTTCTGTAATGGCAAATAATGTAATTTTGGGACTCTGCTCCCAGAACCAATTCCTTTCTTTACTCACAGAGTAAACTCTATCCTGAGGATTCTTTCTTCTGTGCTGAAAAACAAAGTGAGGATATGTCGTGAATCATTTCAAATAATTCTTATGGGATGCAGGAAGCACTGGGGGAATTGCTGTACAGTAGCCATTATTTAAAAGCCTACGTTTGCACACAAACCTCTCGGCCTTCCATAGGATTGGCATAGCTTTGGGGGGAGGTCAATGATACCAGGGCTGTAGATTTCACCTGATGTATTTCAGCACAAGATGCGGCAGAACAGAAAGAACAAAATATAACCAGAACATTTATTTATTTATTTGATATTTTTTTTACTCCGCCCTCTCAGCCAGGGCAGGCTCAGGGCAGCTTACATGAGAGAACAATGGATAAAACAGCAATATAAATATCAATATAAATACACATAATAGAGTATTAAAACTATTAACATCATGATGGCAATACGGTGTGGTAAAGTGCATATAGAAACATACGTTCAGCAGTACATCCACTCTTGGCGGGCTCAGGCTGGCAAGAAAATTGGCACAGGGCATAAATGATGAAGTGCAGCTCCTTACCTAAAACCTTGGCGGAAGAGCTCCGTTTTCACGGCCCTACAGAACTGTGAAAGGTCCCGCAGGGCCCTAATCTCGTCCGGAAGCTCATTCCAGTGAGTTGGAGCTGCCACAGAAAATGCCCTGGTCCTGGTCGATACCAATAAGGACAAAGAAGAAAAAAGGGGGGAAAAACTGAACCTAAACCTAGAATTCAGAACCTAAAAAGGTTAGTCAGGAATAGAAAAGGGCCAACTCTAAAAATCTAATTATAAAATATACAAAAATATATATGTGTGTTTATTCAACATAAATTAAAATAACAAACAAGGGCCCATTCATACCTCATACAAAACTATAAAAACATACAAGGGCTAATAAGATAGACCTAATAAGATAGACCTAACGCGTTTCGGCCTTTACAGGCCTTCCTCAGAGGTCTAATACATACAGAACATATTGGCTGTTGTGCAAAAATACATACAATCCTACATATACAAAATATGGAGTAAAGACCAGAAATCAATTGCTGTAAAAATAAAAGAAATAGAATAGAAGATTAGACACATATACAACTAATACATAGGGTATATGCTGGGGGATGGAGGGGAGGGGGCTTGAGGGAGAGGCTCCAAACTCGTAGGGTAGCTGCTGGAGCCTTTCTCCAAGATACCAACCAGGTTTCAAGAGCATTGGACCAGGGGGTCCGATTCTACGGGCCCCCAAACAGGTTGCCCCTATCCCCTCCATTATTCTCTATGGTGGGGGGAAATCTCCTACCTAAATGCCTTGGCGAAAGAGCTCCGATTTTGTGGCCCTGCGGAACTGTGCAAGGTCCCGCAGGGCCCTGATCTCATCCGGAAGCTCATTCCAGTAGGTCGGAGCTGCCACAGAAAAGGCCCTGGTCGATACCAGCCTGGCATCCTTAGGACCGGGGTGGGGGGGGGGAAACGATTGTGTGACCCTGACCGTTAGTGCTCTCTGGGGAACATATGGGGAAAGGTGGTCCCTCGGGTAGGTAGGATGCAGTGTAAGGCAGACTTACCTGGTTTCTCCCTCCCACTTCAACATCAGTGTCTCTCTTAGCTCCTAGCATATCATACTCATCTCTGCGTCCGTGAGACAATTTCTGAAATTTAAACCCACAGAAACACATTGGGCGGGAGCAGACTAATCTCCTAGGCTGACCAGAACTGTGCTTTTGTGTGTGGACTGAGACCAACAGTGAGCTAAGAAACCACATCCTGCAGAAGTAGCCTTGAAAGATGCTAATCTTTCTTCTTTGACTGAATCCTCTCATGTGCAGATTCATTGTCCTCCCTTCTAGTTCTAAAGCAGGTTAAATTAATGCAGGATATTGTCAATACTGGAGATGCATATGCTGTGTCAACTCACCTCAGCCTAAAAATTGTGTATGTAAGTCTGGATGTCCTGTCCTTCATTTTCCAGCATTTTCCAAACTGATTTTTCCTCTCTCATTTTTCACTCCCCCAGGCCCATCTCATTTTTCTGCGGGGGGGGGGGGGGTTGCTGTGTAGAGTGTAGTTGTAGCAAGGTACTGTTTTGTGAGGTGGTCAGAGATCGGGAAAGCAGTTCTTGCTACACTCACTCTGTTGCTTGTAGGCCTTTTAAATAACTTAAAAATAGTTGGCTATGAATTCCCTACTACCTCATCTTTAGTGTGGAAATGCATTCCCCCCCTTTTTATGTAAGGGAATACCTCTTCACTGAGGCTTCATTTCTGTTGCTTTCCCCTCTTCAGCTACTGCAACACTGTTTTGCAATCATCCTGTGAGCATTTTGCTTTGTTTGTTTTTTAAACTGTTTGGAGAGTACCTTCTCTCCCCAGCTGGAGCCAGATGGTGTATGTGGCAAGGGGAATGATAGGGAATGAAGGATGATAGGGAAATGGCTAAGAAGCTAAATGCATTTTTTGCCTCTGTCTTCACTGTGGAAGATGAGAAATGCTTGCCCACTCCAGAACCGCTGATTTTGGGAGGGGTGTTGAAAGACCTGAGTCAGATTGAGGTGATGAGAGAGGAGGTCCTAAAACTGATATACAACTTAAAAACTGATAAATCACCAGGCCCAGATGGCATACATCCGAGAGTTCTGAAAGAACTCAAATGTGAACTTGTGGATCTCCTGACAAAAATATGTAATCTTTCCTTAAAATCTGCCTCCATTCCTGAGGACTGGAAGGCAGCTAATGTCACTCCCATCTTTTAAAAGGGTTCCAGAGGAGATCCGGGAAATTACAGACCAGTCAGTCTGATGTCGATACTGGGTAATTGGTGGAAACCATTATTAAGGAAAGAATTAGTAGGCACATAGATGAACAAAACCTATTGAGGCAAACTCAGCATGGGTTCTTTAAGGGAAGATCTTGTCTCACTAACCTGTTAATGTTCTTTGAGGGCGTGAATAAACATGTGGACAAGGGGGATCCAATAGATATTGTTTACCTTGACTTCCAGAAAGCTTTTGATAAAGTTCCTCATCAAAGGCTCCTAAGTAAGCTCAAAAATAATGGGATAAAAGGACAAGTCCTTTTATGGATCAAAAACTGGCTAGTTCATAGAAAACAGAGAGTGAGTGTAGGTGGGCAATTTTCTCAGTGGAGGGTGGTAAGCAGTGGGGTACCGCAGGGATCAGTACTTGGTCCACTGCTTTTTAACTTGTTCATTAATGATTTGGAGATGGGAGTAAGCAGTGAAGTGGCTAAATTTGCGGATGATACAAAGTTGTTCGGGGTGGTGAAAACCAGTGAGGATTGTGAGGCACTCCAAGGGGATCTGTCAAGGATGGGCGAGTGGGCGTCAACATGGCAAATGGGGTTCAATGTGGCCAAGTGCAAGGTGATGCACATTGGAGCCAAAAATCCTAAATATAAATACACATTGATGGGGTCTGAACTGGCAGAGACTGAGCAAGAGAGAGATCTTGGAGTTGTAGTGGATAACTCACTGAAAGTGTCGAGACAGTGTGTGACTGCAATAAAGAAGGCCAATGCTATGCTGGGGATTATTAGGAAGGGTATTGAAAACAGATCAGCCAATATAATAATGCCCCTATATAAATCAATGGTGAGACCTCATTTGGAATACTGTGTGCAGTTCTGGTCACCACACCTTAAAAAGGATATTATAGCTTTGGAAAAAGTGCAGAAAAGGGCAACTCGAATGATAAAAGGGTTGGAACACTTTCCCTATGAGGAAAGGTTAAAGCGCTTAGGGCTCTTTAGCTTGGAGAAAAGACGACTGAGGGGTGACATGATTGAGGTTTATAAGATTATGCATGGGAAAGAGCAGGTAGAGAAAGAGGTACTTTTCTCCCTTTCTCACAATACAAGAACTCGTGGGCACTCAATGAAACTGCTGAGCGGTCGGGTTAAAACAGATAAAAGGAAGTACTTCTTCACCCAAAGAGTGATTAACACATGGAATTCACTGCCACAGGAAGTGGTGGCGGCTACAAGCATGGACGGCTTCAAAAGGGAATTAGATAAGCATATGGAGCAGAGGTCCATCAGTGGCTATTAGCCACAAGGTATAGAGAGTCCCTAGTGTTTCTTCTGGGCCCCCTCCTTCCTGGGCTGACCCTTAAGTGCCCCAAGTTGCCACCTGCATTGTGCTTTGATTTAATTAGCTGGCGCCCCCCCCAGGCCCCCTCCCCCAAAATTCCCTAGGTATGGGACTGGGCCTGATCCAACATTGGCGTCTCTTATGTTCTTAAAGGGGGGGGAGCAAACAGTTATTTATTTCCTGCCTTTCTCCCCAGTGGTGACCCAAAGTGGCATACATCGTTCTCCTCTCCTCCACTTTACCCTCACAACAACCCTGTGAGGTCAGTTAGGCTGAGTGAGTGTAACTGCCTCAAGGTCACCCATCAAGCTTCCACGGTAGAGTGGAGATTCAAACCTGGGTTTACCCAGATCCTAGTTTGACACTTTAACCACTACACCATGCTGGCTCTCTAACTCCTAACTAAATCATTGCAATCTTCCTTCCCCTATGCTAGCTGCTACCAATTCATGTTCCCCCTGCTATGGTGAGACTCTGTCCAATCGAGACAGGAAAGGGCAGTGGGGATAGAACTCCCATCTATATTTCTCTGCAGCACAGTCTTATATTAAGCAACTCAATTCATCTCCCTTCTTGCACGAGTGTTACTAAACTTCAGTTGAAAAGGAGACTATGCCTGCCACATGTTCAGTTTTCATGGCAGTGCTGCATAATCTGCACACACAATTTTTCCCTCTCCCTTTGACCATTAGCTAGGACTTCTAGATCTGAAAAGGATAGGGTTGCCAGGCATGATTGCGTGCCAGCGGGGGCATTTGGGGGGGTGGTGGTCCAGGAGTGGGCGGTGACATTCCCGATGCAATGATGTCACACAGAAGTGATGTCATCATGTCAGCAACCTCACGCAGTGACACTCTGCTTTTTGGGCAAACTATATGGTTAAAATTGGGCGCTACATTGTTGTTTGGGGGTGGGGCTTCCCCCGCTGGCCAGCTGGTGGGCAGCAGGCAGAAGCCCCAAAAATCTGGGGATCTCCTACCCAGATTGGGGTCTGGGAACTCTAGAAAAGGAGTCTGAGTCTAGGACAAGATGGTGGATACTTCATGCAGAGATCTCAGTCTCCTTTCGTAACTGAAAGTGATGAAGCGTTGCTCACTTAAGACTGGAAGGAAGAATGAGAGAGCCATATAGACAGCTGTTGAACTAGTTTACCCAAGACTTACAGTGCTATGGCAACCGATGGCCTGGCTTTTCATTCATGGCAAAGGCCACATAGTTAGTGGGCTGATTTCCAGACGGTCCCCAGTGCTGCACATGCTCACAACAGTAGCTAGGCTCTAAGTTCTGATGCCCCACATTGCCCATTCACCTTTGTAAGGGAGTAGCGGAGAGGGGCCCTGACTTGGGATAGTCCAGGCTAGGCCAATCTGGTCAGACCTCAGAAACGAAGCAGGGTCAGCCCTGGCTAGTATTTGGAAGGGAGACCTCCAAGGAATACCAGGGTCATGATGACATGGGGACAGGAAGTGGCAAACCACTTCTGAACATCTCTTGCCTTGAAAACCCTATGGGGTCACCATAAATCGGCTGCAGTTTGACAGCAACAAAACAAGGAGAAGGATTGGGGGAAGCACTGGGGTACTCAGATTTATTTAGGATTGGTGCAAACTCTGGAGATATCTAGTTCCAATTCTAACTGGAGCTACCGGGCAAACCCATGAAACCTGTTGTCCAAATCCAGTCACTTCAGACTTTATCTCATCAATTGTCTTCATTTACAAATGTAAATTTAGAGACATCAGAAGGCAGCCACTTACATTGTATAGGTCATCAGGGCCCTGAGTTTGTGAGGGTTCGGGAGAGCCTTTGCTTAACTAGGAAAACAAAACAACAACAAAAAATGTTGAATAGAGTGCACGTATACATAGCCAAGCCACTCAATGAGCAAGTTTTTATTCTTCCAAACTGCAGGCTGCCCTTAAAATGAGGGTAATGTCTGCTAATGATTTATAAAAATGGTGAGGTTATCTGGCTGGGTCTTCACCCAGCACAATACAGGTTTTTTTCAGGTGAACATTCCACACTTCTTTTGTTTCCCATGCCAGTCCTTGCCAAAATAATGCACTAAAAATTCTGATGTCTCTTTACCCTCAGTCCCCTTATATAACCAACATTTAGTACGCTAATGAAATATATGAATGGAAGCTGCACACGGACGGCTGTTCAAAATGCAGAATTTGAGATGGTCATCATAAAACGTCTGTTCTTTTCCCTCCTTTTTTCTAGCATTGCATGAATTAAATGTAATTGAGTTCAGCAAGGACTCAGAGTTCCAAACTTGTGCTTAGGATACTAATGAACTGGCATTTGGTGCCTTCTCACCCTGAGGGGCACAGATTAATGATGGAGACACAGTGTCACTGTTGTGGCCTGCTAATGAAGAGCCATTTCTTCTTTCTGACATCGCTGGCTCCCCAACTGCCTTTATATTAAGATTCAAGGCCTAGAAGGGTCACTGCAGTTAAGCCTATCCTTTCCACGTAATCCCACAATTATGACTACACAGGATCACATATGGTAAGGCTCTAAAACCTTTACCAAAGTGTGAGGAGACAAAGCCATGCCTTCCCACTGGACAAGTGGCTACTGTGTATACATCAGGAAGGAGACCAAGTACTTTCCTGCTTACCTCCACTTGACAGACACAAAGATAATGAGGTGTTCCTTGCTCTGAGATTTTATGTCAAAGAAACATTGAATTGCTATTATATTATGCTCCCAAAGGTGGCTTGCACTGTAACCTGTTAACCAATATTGGTCCAAGGAATTGCTTCTCCATTTATTACAAAGACTATGGCCATTCGCAGAAGCAGACAGGCATTTTGATAACTAAGGTAGGAAATACCAATCAGGCCCCCCACTGTAATAAAAATATAATAAATAAATTATGGTTTATTTCTTTTTTAATAGTACCCAAACACTTCTTCAAGAGGGCTATTTCACCTTGCTTAATGACACGGCTACCCTTGGTATTCCTGTAAAACCACAAGGGCAAATCACTTTGATTCATTGATCATAATGCCCCTTTTGTGGTCCTGGCAGAAAACAAAATGTTCATTTATTTACTTAATCTCAGAGTTGGGAGTGACCACCAGGGTCATCTAGTCCAAACCCCTGCCAATGCAGGAACTACAATTATAATAACCCAGTCAATACTTTTTTTAAAAAAAGCCATCCAATGATGAAGATTCTTCCAATTCATGAGGGAGACTGTTCCACTATTGAACACATCTCAGAGTCAGGAAATCCTTCCCTAAATTTAGATGAAATCTCCTTTGCTGTAGTTTATATCCATTAGTCTCAAGTACTGTCATCCAAGATGAACGAAAACATATCTGCACTGAAGCCAATGCCCTGAGGGCGCTAAGGTTCTTTGACTTGTATGGTTAGCCAATAAACCAAACAGTGAAACAGACAATGCCAGGTAATAAAGGGTAACAAAAGGATTTATTCGAATACAGCTAAGAATTCAGTGTGGCTGTTCAGTGAGTTACAGCAGGGATCCTGCTTATATGCTCTTCTTGCTCCTCCTCACTTTACATCTTCATTGACATCATTTGCACATGCTCAGTTTAGATCTCTTTGTCTGGTCAGTCATCAATCACATATTTGACAAACAGGATGTTACTTGGCTGTGTCTCAACTTCACACTGCAGGTGCTTGTCTCATTAAAATTGATTTATAAATGTGTTTATTCTTTTGGCTGTCTACCTAGACTCCTTTCACCTTTGAATGAACTCTCAGGTTGAGTTCATTTTCAGTACAAAACTTAGCTGTTTTCATTACAAAAATGTTTTTTTACATTAATACATGTACATAAAGTATAACAGTACTCTTAAAGTATTTTTATAAGCTTGTTTTCACTAAGGGTATACAAAATATGAAAAATATAAAAACATATATCATTATAATGACTTTCTAAAGAATTAAACCCTTTACATGTATTCTTTTAGTGTTTCAAAATAGCCTATGGCATAAAGCCTTTGTAAATAACTTGAATTTATCTATTATCCTTTATTTTGGACCCCCCTAGAACATTTTGTTCATTTTAAAGATTTTTTAAAACTTCTAGACTCAAAACAAATTGTTTTACTATGGTCAATAGGGGTTTTCTTTGTCTAATATAAATGTTGTACATACATAATTGGCTTCTAGTGAAAACAGGTATGCATGATTGATTATTTTGTTTTCCTAAACCTTTTGGAACATCTCCCAACTTTCCACTTGTTAGTAGCTCATTAATTTCAAACACAGTTCCTTAAAGACTTAAAAGCACACAATAACTTAGATCTATCATGAAAGACACAACTGAACTTCTATTTTTTTAAGTGTTATAACATTTTTTCTTTAAGCAAGTGTCTTTTTGTCCTAAGCTTGATAACTTTCTATAGCAAAGCTTAAAATTAATAAAGGATAGCTGCTTGTTTTTACAAACATCTCCATACCATAGTCTTAGTAAATATTCAGCTATAAAATATAAAGTATTTTTATTTTCTTTTTTTAAAAACAATTTTATTAGGATATATTCATAGGTCAAACATATATCACATTGCTAAATATCATATATCCTTTTCTCCTATTTCCCCACCCCTTTTGACTTCCCACAGTGCTCCAACCTCCAGCCCATATCTTATTTTCCCTTCTTCTCTCCTTGGGTATTAAAAATCAGCTATATATATATTGGATGGGTGAATCCCGGCTGTGAGGCTTTTGCGAGCTTCTTCGCAGATAAAGACTTGGAGCTCCGCCGTGACCTCTCCGCCACAATTGAGAGTGAGTGAACTTGAGGCCCCTTGCGCGCCTTCGGTACCGGGTTTAGAGTGTTTCAATCTACTCAGTCTGGACGAAGTGGACAGATTGCTCGTTTCTGTGTGCCCAACCACATGCGACCTGGATTCGTGCCCCTCTTGGCTGATTAAAGCGAGTCCCGGGGGGTTACGAGGCACATTGCGGGAGATTATCAACACGTCCCTCTCGGAGGGACGGTTCCCGAATGCGCTCAAGGAAGCGATGGTCCGCCCTCTCTTTAAAAAACCATCTTTGGACCCGGCCGAATTGGCTAATTACCAGCCGGTGTCCAATTTGCCCTATTTGGGCAAACTTATAGAGAGGGCGGTGGCGTCACAGTTTCAGAGCTTTCTGGAGGAGGCTTCAGTCTTAGATCCCTTCCAGTCCGGCTTCCGCCCAGGTCACGGAACTGAGACGGCCTTGGTCGCCCTGACTGACGATCTCCGAAGGCATCTGGATCGAGGTGGTGTGGCGGCGCTGGTGTTGTTAGACCTGTCGGACGCGTTCGATACGGTCGACCACCAGTTGCTGACCCACCGCCTCGCCGACGTGGGGATTCAGGGGCTTGCCCTTCAATGGTTTGCCTCTTTCCTGCAAGGTCAGGGACAAAGGGTGGCCGTCGGGGACCAGCACTCCCGTAGGTATCCCCTTGAGTGTGGGGTACCACAGGGAGCAGTGTTGTCCCCGATGCTATTTAATATCTATATGCGCCCCCTTGCCCAGATTGCCCGGAGTTATGGGCTTGGGTGTCATCAATATGCAGATGACACCCAGCTCTATCTGATGCTGGGTGGCCGGTCGGACCCGAGTCCCGATGACCTGCATCGGGCATTAGAAGCTGTGGCTGGTTGGCTCCGGCTGAGCCGATTGAAACTAAACCCGGCCTTTTTCCATCTACGGCGGGCAAGGCAGTTGGTCCCCTACCTTGACCACGATGACCTGGCCACAGTGATCCATGCGACGGTTACCTCGAGGCTAGACTACTGCAACACTCTCTACTTGGGGCTGCCTTTGCTGCAAATCCGGAAGCTGCAACTGGTGCAGAATGCTGCAGCCAGGCTGTTAATGGGTCTCTCTAGAAGGGACCATGTTCAGCCTGTGCTGAAAGCGCTGCACTGGTTGCCAATAGCGTACCGGATTCGCTTCAAAGTGCTGGTGCTTACCTATAAAGCCCTATATGGCCAGGGTCCAGCCTACCTGAGGGACCGCCTCTCCCCGTATGTTCCCCCAAGAGCACTACGGTCGAGGGCCCAAAATTTGTTAACTATTCCGGGCCCTAGGGATATCAAACTAACTGCTACTAGGGCCAGGGCGTTTTCGGTGGCGGCTACTACATGGTGGAATGAGCTCCCAGGGGAGATCCGGGCCCTGCGGGACCTTATGCAGTTCCGCACGGCCTGCAAGACGGAGCTCTTCCGCCAGGCTTTCGAGTAGGAGCCGCCGCCCCTACTATACCACCACCGCCCTGAGGAAACATCTGAAACATCTGGATATTGAAGAAGACCTAGCCGTGGGACTTAGCCGTGGTACCACTCGGAATTTTTGGACCTATGATTTGTTATCTTGGGACTGTTGGAAGTATTGAGTACTATGTTTTTAACTGAGGATATTTTAAGATGTACTAGATGTTTGTATTATTATTATGTATTTGATATTTGATGTTTTTATTATGGCAAGGTTCTGCCTTGCCTCTGTAAGCCGCCCTGAGCCTATTGGGGAGGGCGGGGTATAAATTTTAAAAAATAAATAAATAAAATAAATAAATTTACACAGGTGGCACTACCCATCCAATATTTATATAGCTGATTTTTAATACCCAAGTGGAACACTTGTCCCTATTAGACCTAATTGTATTTGCCTGGGCTCAGCCATCATATCCAAGTCCAGCTGCATCTTATTTTTATCCTCCAAGGTATTAACTACCCCATCCAGTTTTGTATCATCCACAAACTTGATGAGCACATTCTGTATTCCCTCATCTAAGTCATTTATAAAAATGTTAAAGAGCACTGGGCCCAAAACAGAACCCTGGGGCAGCCCACATGTCAATTCCCTCCAGGTTGATGGTGGGGAACCATGAACTATCACCCTCTGTGTACAATCTATCAACCAGGCCTTAGACCACCTAACAGTAATGGGGTTCAGTCCATATCTCTATCTCTCCAAATTGTCACAAACAGACCATTAATAATCTGTTCTAAAATCTTTCCAGGAATCAGTGTAAAACTAACTGGCCAATGATTTCCTAGATCATCTGTTTTCCCTTTCTTAATGATCTGATCACATACTGTAAAACTCTACCCATGGAACTAGCCAGGTAGAGGACAGAATGTGGCAGAGCACTGAGAGAAGATGGCACTTTCTGTTGGCAATCTGCATGTCCACAGCAGGTGTTGAAGGTCCAAAGATTGAGTAGAGTGCCAGACATATTAGTATTTACTTCCAGGTGTTAGAACATCCCATTAAATAAGACCTATAGTTAAGTCTGAAAGACCTTCATTTGAGTCTTTTTGCTTGGAAGAAATTAAATAGTCCTTAATTGTATTTAAATAGTCATTAATTGTACTGAGAAGCTTCTGCACTTCATTCTTACATTCCCATTCTAACTTTTTAAAAATCTATTTTTTGGGTTTTCAATATGCCACACAAACATCACATGCACTCTAAATAACATTATAAATACAAATATCTCCTGGAAGATATTGTCAATATACCATAATTCTCACTAACCTCTTAGGGATAGAAGCTAAAGACACAGATTAACATTTTATGTACGCCTTTCTAAATTTACTAACATACCAAGTTTCAACTTGCTTCTTGTACTATTTAATTCACCCTTTCTCTATAAACTTTAGACTCTCTATTTAGAGTTCTCACAATTTCCACTTTGCTAACTACCTTCTTTTAAGTTTTAAACTTTTAGTCAATCATAGGTGATATTAACTGTAAATTATGTTCCCTATTCCATCTACCCAAATACCTTATACACCCCATACATAGTTAACCAAATAATTTGACCTCTAAACAATAAACAAAATCATCATTGATAGGGTACACCAAAATCCATTCCTTTCCCCAATATAACCACAATTTTTTTTTACATCAAACCAACTATCTTTCTATAAACCAAATTTCAGCCTATTCGTTATTTTTCCTTCCCACATTTGGTACAAAATTTATCCCTATGATTTTATTCTAAAAATACCTTACACCCTCGGTTATAAAGTAAAATCATTAAGCATATTAACAAAATTATCAATTTTAAAGTACAATAGAAACTATAAATTCATTTTCAACACAAATCCATGAAACATATTGCACTAAATGTCTAAAACCCTAATTAAACCTCATTCATAATTTTCTTCCCCCCCTTTACTCTAAATAAATAGCTACTAAATAATGATAGAAAGAAACACAAACAATATACTTAGGCCAAATCATCAATGTTGGAATACGGGGAATACCATAAATTCATAATTCCAATGTGACAAAAGCTCTTCAAAACCAATCTAATTTAGCCCCCTTCATTATTTTTCTTTCCACATTTAATGTAAAGCTTACTTCTATATTTTCCACTTATATTACAAATACCTTACTCCCATCCTACATGCATAAATAAGTGATTAACCATAAAGACAAATTCATTGATATTAAAATACATCAAAGCCATCAATTCATTTTTCCAACAAATCATATACTTTTTAACTCCCATCAAACTTCATACGTTTTATCTTCTATATTTCCACCTAGTTATGCTCCTAATTGTCTTTTCAGTCCTGCTTTTCCATACACCTTGTCTTGATCCCTTTTTCCTTTCCTTTTTATTTATATTTCTCCCTTCCTTATCAGGCATATTTTTCCTCTCCTTTTTTGTTTGTTCTGTCTCTATATAAGGCAAACCCCTCCTCTTTGTTTTTGCTTCTATCAATAGCACAGGCTGGGTATTAGCAAACGTCTCTTTATAGCAGTTAGCCTGTTCTTCCACCACATCTCGACCATCCTGCATTAATTTCTCTTCATTTCTCTCTTTTTCTTTGTCCTGTTGTGTCACTTGTAAATTTCCAAGCACATTCGTGCAAGCTTATCTGATACCGTTTTGTATTTCCTCCCTCAATACCTTCATAAATTGTTCCAATGTGAGTTCCCCTACTAAGGTATCATCGTCAAAATCCTCCTCCTCCAACTCAACTGGCGACGCCATTTTAGGGATAAAGTTACTTCTACTTTACGTGTGTTCCGTTCTAACTTTTGAGCAAATCTTCCTCTGGGGGACAACAACGGTGATCTACCTGGGTATGGTTAATCAAAAGAGAGACCCCCGTTGTCCCCCATCAAACATAGTGCAAATAGTCATTTGTTGTCAGTATCCAAATGTAAAAGATGTCAAGATCAAAAAGCCTGCCAATGAGAGAAGGCTGGAAACAGGAAAGAATCTTCCTCTCTACTTCCAACACAGAATTTTTCTCAATCTTCAGTTTAGTAAATGAGCTAATCGTTAAGACGAAATGAAATAGTAGAAATTCTGCTTTCTAATGCCTAACTCTATTTGAAGGGGTAACCTGGGACCATGAATAGCTGCTGCCAGTGTTTGAATTCGCCTTCAGGTCTTCCATGTGGTTTCCTACTTTGAGGTAGAAAGAATGGACTTTGATTTTTAGTTGACCAGTTCAGAAGCACTTGTGGCTGGGAGCAAGCAGCTGGTTGCCAATTTGCTCACTCCTGACTCCTTTCACTAGGGTCTTGCCATTCCCTCCCTAATGATCACAGCCTGGACTTGACGTGAGGCTGAGGCTGTGGCTCTTGCAGTCAGGCACAACATCTATCACAACATATATGGGCTGTGGTTTCTCTTCTCTGGCACGACTCCCATTCTTAGAATCAGCCGCTTTCATCGACAGGCAGGATTGATAATGGCACACATACCCCTTTCTAGCTGATTTTTTACGACCACCCATTTATATTTGTTTCTTTCTCACTTCCTTCTGTTGTATTTAATGCCACTGAGAGAAAATGTTGTTTACTGCCACAGAGAGTGAAAATTACAATTAATCCAGGGGGGAAACCAGGACACAGAACTAGAAGCAAGAGGAAGCAACCTCTTCTTTGCTCGTGTAAAGATCTCCTCTGTGCTTTGGAAGACCTGTATTTAGGTTTGCCAGCTGGCCAGAAAAAAGGCCTGCCTGGTTGCCACCTATGTGTTTAATTGTGTCTTAACCTGTAGAAAATAGGAGATTATCTTCTCTCAGCATGGAAATACGCATTATCACCTGCTAATGGCCTCAGAAAAGACTTCTGTTAAAGGGAGGAGGGGTAGTTTTTAAAACAGCTGGCAGCCCTAACTGCATCTAAGAGAATTTCTACATGCTAGAAGTGAAGGGTCATACTTCATGTCACACGTTTTTGCCATAGTGAGCTGCTGCATATATACCCAAGTATTAAATTTGTGTATAGATCATCATTTGTGATTATTACATATATATACATTTCATCACATGCACACACAGCTCCAGGAAGCCAATCACTGAAAGTATCAGCCCTAAAAAAAAAATCAAAGGAGGGAGGTGTACAGCGTGCCAGTTACTTGTAGCGACATTACAAGGGGTCCCACTTTAGCCTCTGTGAGGTCTGGCGAGTTTAGTGGCATCACTAAATTCCACTGAGCATCCAGTTGATGGAAAGCTGTGCCTCATTTGAGATGGCTTGGAACAGTCAAGAGGAAAGGAGCATCTTGATGAACCCCTAAAAGAAGCACACTACACCCTAACCCTATCCTGTTTATTTAGGACTTCATTTATAGCCTGCCTTTCTCGCTGAGACTGAAGATGGTTTATAAAAACAAGAACAACATTGGATTTTTGCAACCTCTCCCTACTATCAAGTAATCAGCTGTGGCCAATTTAAATATGGAAAATTCTGGCTAGCATTAATTGCCAACTGGCAAACACAGGAAAGGGTTTGCTGGAATTATTCTAGCTGACTACCTCCAACCCAACAGATTTTTTTGAGTTCTCCTTCAAGATCATGTCTATCTTCTTCTGCAGAAAAGGGGGAAAAAAGCAGTGGGGGATACTCAAACTGAGTATGCAAATGAAGGAAGGGAAGCAGAAAAATATTTCCTCCACTTATGAGAATAAGCTTCTCCCCATTTTGAAGAGGCAAGACTCACCTTTTCTTTTACAAAAAAGGCTGTGATGATTATAGCATAAATGAAGAGGATCCCATCAAGAACGTAGCATAATTTTGGATCTGCCAGCCCCGGCATACTAGCATCTGGAAGAAAATTAATATTAATAATAGTAATAACAACCACAACAATAGACTGATTCCATGCTATAGTACTTACAGATCAAACAAGGGACAATTTTCAAGCCACTGGAAGGGTAGGATGAAAATGTACTACATAAATAAAGGGAAAATACCAGACTTGTCTTCTTCAAGTAGAATAAAGCTGAGCTTTCAAAGAGTGCAGATTGTGACTATTCTGCAGGAAACTGGCTCTCCAAACATAGGAAGCCACCTTATACTGAATTAGTCAACTGCTGTATTAACCAGTATTTATTCTGCTGTGCTGCAGGGCCTTAGAAAGGGAAAGA